TTTTTTAGATGGAGATAGCAAGAGGAGGCATCTTACACACGGAGCTCAAAGAAAGATAGATTAACAGATTAACAGAGTTGGAAGGGACCTTATGGGTCATCTAGTGCAACCCCAATGTAGGTCATTAGACAACCCAGTGCCCATGGGCACCAAAAGGAGACTCCCATTACAAGGGACCACACACTAGTGAGCCAGAGGTTTTTAGGTGGATGGTGGGGAATGGAAATCTTCAGTCAGAGCTGAAGAAGCTTCTTGGACGAGCAGTGAAATGTCTTCAAAAAAAACCCAGAAAGTCCAGTGGCCTCTTGGGGAAAAAAGCACCTTTGGGACAACCATGACCTGGAGGACTGAGCATCTCCATAGACATCTTGGAAAGAGGAGAAAAGACTAGAGAAGGACTTAGAATAGAATAACAGAGTTGGAAGGGACCTTGGAGGTCTTCTAGTCCAACCCCCTGCCTAGACAGGAAACCCTACAAATGTTATCCAATCTTTTCTTTAAAACCACCAGTGTTGGAGCATTCACAACTTCTGGAGGCAAGTTGTTCCACTGATTAATTATTCTGTCAGGAAATGTCTCCTTAGTTCTAGGTTGCTTCTCTCCTTGATCAGTTTCCACCCATTGCTTCTTGTCCTGCCTTCAGGGGCTTTGGAGAATAGCTTGACTCCCTCTTCTTTGGGGCAGCCCCTGAGATATTGGAAGACTGCTATCATGTCTCCCCTAGTGCCTAGTCCTTCTTTTCATTAGACTAGACATACCCACTTCCTGCAACTGTTCTTCGTATGTTTTAGCCTCCAGTCCCCTAATCCTCTTTGTTGCTCTTCTCTGCACTTTTTCTAGAGTCTCAACATCTTTTGTACATCGTGGCGACCAACACTGGATGCAGTATTCCAAGGGTGGCCTCACCAAGGCATTGTAAAGTGGCATTAACACTTCACGTGATCTTGATTCTATCTATTCTGTTTATGCAGCCTAGGACTCTGTTGGCTTTTTTTTTTTTTTTTTGGCAGCGGCTGCACACTTTTGGCCACCAAGGAGGATGCAATGGACCATAACCCCATTTTGTGAACAGGCCGTCTTCTGATGAGCTTCTGTGGGGTGGGTTGCTGATGTTCTCACAAGGCACTTTTGTCCTCATTTTGGGCAAAATCTAGGCTTAGCTATGGATACTTTTCGACGGAGGGGCGGAACCAGGAAAAAGGTGGTGGTCTTACCTCAGAGGTCTCCAAATTGGCGACTTTTAAGACTTGCGGCCAGTTTGAGGCCTTTTTTGGCCTCCCAGAGGCTCGAGGAAGGCTTCTGCAGGCTTTGCAGGCCGAAAACTAATCCCGTTTCGTCACTTCTGGTATTTTCAGAAAAACAGGAAGTGATGAGACTTTTAAGACTTTAAGACTTGTGGACTCCATTCTGGGAGTTGAAGTCCACAAGTCTTAAAAGTCGCCAAGTTTGGAGGCCTCTGGTTCTTACCTTTCTGGTCTTACCTCTCAGGAACGCGAGCAAGTTCCCTTTGGTCATGATTTCAGTGATGATGTAGACGGGATCCCCGGCCGAGCAGATGGCGTAGAGGGAAAGAATGTTCTTGTGCTTCAACAACCTCAGGGCCTCGATCTCATTTCTGAAGGTGTCCTGGCACGTCAGATCGGCTGGGATGGGACGAAAAGCAATGGTAAATTTCTCCCTTCTGGTGTACCTCAACTCCTGATTACTTTTCCGGGTGTATAGGTAATCCTCGACTTACGACCACAAGTGAGGCCTGTTGTAACTTCGAACAGCCGCTAAGTCAAGGATTACCTGTATTTAAGTCAAGGATTCATAAGTCGAGGATTACCTGTATTTAAAAAAGGGGGGGTGGGGCTTAATTTTCCTGAAAAGCTCCAGTGGATGGATCTCGTCATCAGAGAGAGTATCTTAACTTACTGCCCCTCTGTATGGTTTGCCAATTGCACAGGGGCAGATAGGACAGCGCTCCAGAGGGTTAACGTCATTGCCCAGAGGATCATTGGTTGCCCTCTCCTCTCTCTGGAAGAGCTTAATAGCTCCCATTGCCTTAAGAAAGTTCAAAACATTCTCAAAGATCCATTTTATCCTGGGTTCCTTTTTTTTTTAACTATTACCAACTGGCAGATGGTACAGGATAATAAAAACAAGGACAAACAGGCTGAAAAACAGCTTCTATCCCAGGGCAGTAACTCCTAAAGAATTCTACTGTATAGTCCAATATTAATGCAACATCTGGGGTTTTCAATTCAATGTATAGAAACGGTTCTATACGGATGGTGAACCTATGGCACGTGTGCCACACGCAGAGCCATTTGTGCCGGCACACAAGTTGCAGGCAAACTTGTCTCACTGTTGATTTTCGGCTGGTTTCAGGCCTTTTTCAGCCCCCCAAAGGCTGGAGGAAGGCTTCTGCAGGCTTCCTGCAGGCTAAAAACTAGGCCCGTTTCATCACTTCCTGTTTTTCCGAAAATACCAGAAGTGACGAAACGGGACTAGTTTTCGGCCTGCAAAGCCTGCAGAAGCCCTTCCTCAAGCCTCTGGGAGGCCAAAAAAAGGCCTCAAACTGGCCGCAAATCAGAGGCACAATGCAGGCAAGGGGGTGGCGGGGTTGCGTGGGTGGGGATTGCGTGCGCATGCATAGAGGCGTGGGGGGCATATATTGCCTTCTGGGTGCTGGCACGCCAGTGCGAGCGTGCCAGCACGTGCACAATTTTTGGCACAGGAGCCCAAAAAGGTTAGCTACCACTGGTATCGAATGTGTGATTGTGTTTATTTTCATAGTCACAATGTACACTGAAGACGGTGTTTAATTTCGTTGCACGAGGCGCAATGACAATAAACTAAACCAAATCATCTGGCTTTCATTTCCATGACTCTACTTTACCTCTCTGTAACACTTTGATAGCAACTTTCACTTTCTCTTTCCAAAGTCCCTCGTAGACTTGCCCAAAGTAGCCTGAGTCCAACTTCCGGATCAGACGGAATTCTTCTTTGGGCCTCTCCCAATTGTCCCAGTGGGGCATGGCCTTTGGCTCCGGCTTGGGTCAAAAAGAAAGTCAAAACGGGGGTTACATTTTCTCCAAGATTTATTTCGTGTACCGTTGGCAACTTTTCTTCTCCCAATTTCAAGTAGTCCTCGATTTACGGCCATTTGTTTAGTGACCGTTCGAAGGCTACGGCCCTAAAAAAAATAATGACATAGGGCCGTTTTTCACATTTACGACCATTGCTCAGCATCCGCACAGTCACGTGATCAAAAATCGGACGCTAAGCAACCGACTCATATTTATGACGGTCGCGGTGTCCCTGGGGGTGGGGGTCATGCAATTCCCCCTTTTGTGACCTTCTGACAAGCCAAGGGGAAGCCAGATTCGCTTTACAATGGTGCTACTAGCTTTTAACAACTGCAGTGCTTCGCTTAACGACTGTGGCAAGCTAGGTTGTAAAGTGTGGCAAAACTCACTTCACAACAGTCTTGCTTAGCAACAGAAATATTGGGCTCAGCTGTGGTCCTAAGCCGGGGATTAGGTGTATCTCTTGCCCTGCATTTTTTATTTTGCCAAAAAAAAAAGAAAAAAAAGAAAAAAAGGAAGAACAGCTGCAAAGCTTCATTTCTGCAGGTAGTTTCAAGATGCTGAATGCTGATATTGTTTGACCTGAAATGCAAAACTTCCTTTTAAACAGGACTTTCTTTTTGTTGGGGGTGGGGGGAGAGAAGGCATGGCAGGTCCCTGCCCGAAGGCTGCCACTCTAAAGGGGAGGAGGGGCTGGATCTTGGGGGTGGGGGGGTTGCATGGTTTGCATGCTTTCCCTTTTGCTGTAACCGGTTGGGGAATTAGGGGAGGGGGAGGAATGGGCCCAGCAGGCTGCCTCCTCTCCCAGCCAGTTTTAGCCTGTTGTCGCCGTCCTTTTCATCACAACTTTGTGCCATTGGATTGGCTAATTGTGGACATGGGTGCCAGGTGGGGGCTAAATAGAGGAAATTAGCTGAACGTTTCCCAGGGGAACTTTGTTACGACTTACCGGGACGTCATCTTCCGAGTCGGTCTCGCTCTCGTCGAGGGGAGTCGGAGGTCCCAGCTCCTCTCCCGCCGGAGGGGCGACCTCTACAACCTCCCCTACCTTTAGCCCGGTTTTGCGAGGCTTGGCTGGGGGTTTTTCGGGCTTTCTCCCCGGGCCCCGCACTCCCTTTGGATCCAGCTTGACCCGGCAATCCGCAATCCGGTGGCCCTCCTTCCCGCAACGAAAACAGGCAGTGGATCTGGCTCTTGCCATCACTCCTCCCTTCCGAGGGTTTGGGGCCTCTCGGGGACATGGGGGGAGCGGTTTGCTCCATACGGGGCCTCCTCTGCGTCTGCTCCGGGTTAGATCTATTTCCACTTCTTCCGCTAGCAAGTACCACAGCTGCAGGTCGTATGGATCCCTTCTGGAGATGCACATGTGGTATATATCTTCATTTAAGCCATCTTTGTAGGCTTCTATCAGGGCCCCCTGGGACCAGCCTCGGATGTGGTATGCCAGCTGTCTGAACTCTTGGGTGTAGTCAGCGACCGATCTCCCCCCTTGGATTAGGGTCTTCATTCTGATCCTGGCCTTTCTCTCCGCTAAAGGGTCCTCAAACCTCCTCCTCAATGCAGTCATGAAAACATTGAGGTTCCGCAGTTGTGGGGAGTTATCATTATACAAAGTCACCACCCAGTCTGCTGCCATCCCTTCCAGGGTTCTGGTAACACATCTCACTTTGGCTGCTTCAGAGGTGAAATCCCTTTCATATTCTGCCATATAGCTCCCGACTTGTACCAGGAAAAACTCCAAATCCTTGGGATTTCCTCCAAACTTCACATCTAACGGGGGCGGGTTGCTTCTTCCAGGGATCACACCTATTGCTGGGGCCCCCCGGGCGGCAGCCGGCTGCTGCGCTGGCGTAGGCTGAGCTAGGGGGGTGGGGGCAGCCCGACTTCCCCAGGCTGAACTCGCTCCCCCTTCCCCCTCATACCTTGGAGCTATGCCGGGCCTCTCAGAAGCGTCCTTAAGGAATTGCCTGGCTTGATCCAGCCTGCATTCCATCTCCTCCCTCTCTTGCCACAGCCGTTCCCTCGCACCTCTTCGACTTACAGTGATCCCAGGAATGGGGTGG